ACTACAAGCAAAATCATCCATTCAGACTGAATCCGACAAGGCTTTGGCAGAAGCCAAGAAGGAGGGGGTGATTACCTCAATTAAGAGGTGTTTGGAGGATCCAGTGGTGGAATTGGAGGACCTGGAAGACATCTTGCTACGTCGACACAGGCTGCGCAAGACGAGGCACTCACAATCTGCCTAAAGACTACAACTGGAACCCGATGAGGTTGGGAAGCATGCTGCATGAAGTGGAAAAGAGAGGTATATTTCTGCTGCTATTGAGTTGGCTTCCTAACCTGCGGTAGTGGTCTTTTGTGGCAATGTCCTCACTTTTGGAACCTGTTTATTGGCCAATGCGTCAAAGCCAATAGGATGCCAATAGGCCAAAGAAGGATTCTGTCAGTCCTCCTGGTTCTAGGGATAGGCCAATCCTTAATGGCAAGAGGCAATGCACTCAAAAGAGGTGCGAGGCCCCAAAGCGGTACTAAAGACTATAAATGTCTTGTCCTGGACGACGTTAAACCAGTTTCACTACGCTAATGTACAAGAGCCTGTAGCTACGGCCCGTCCTTTGGACGTAAAAACCTCTTCATGGCTGCTGCCAAAAAGCGCAGTTTTTGGAGATGGTACGTGTGTTTCAAGGAAAGCGGTAAAAGGGTCAATGCACCCGTTAACATGTTGGCTCAAGGATGGCCAGCCCGTCCGTAGAAAAAAGTTCGTACCTGGGAGTGAGGGTTGGGTTAGTGCCCCTCTACCTTTGTAAGGGTGCCCCTTCCTTTGACCCGGTTTCCCTGAGGTGGTTTTGTGGTTTCTTACTGGTTGGTCTGGGGAACATATTTAGGCGACTGTTGAGGGTTGACAGCTTCCTTTGTCCCCTTTCGGTTGCCCCCGTACCCTAAACCCTAAACCCTAAACCCTAAACCCTAAACCCTAAACCCTAAACCCTAAACCCTAAACCCTAAACCCTAAACCCTAAACCCTAAACCCTAAGCCGAGCATCAGTTTAATTTATACCCCCACATTTAAAGAAATATTTTTTGGCCGGAAGCCCGCCGGAAGACTACTTTCCATTAGGGTGGATTTCGTATGGGACAAACCCCCCACATTTAAAGGAATTTTTTTTGGGGGGGTTCAAAAATCTGTCGGCAGGCTTCTTGTTTTGCTTGCGGAGACGCAAAGCTACAGCACCTCAGGGATCTGCAGCCTATTGTTTTTAATAGAGAATCAATACAGGGCCACGGTCCAACTATTGCGGAACCCTGCATTCCTTATTGTGGAGGGGGGGGGGCCCCCACCAATTAAACAGATGCTCGGATTAAACCCTAAACCCTAAACCCTAAACCCTAAACCCTAAACCCTAAACCCTAAACCCTAAACCCTAAACCTAAACCCTAAACCCTAAACCCCCCAAGGCGCCTGGAAGAGTCCTCTCCGGCCTCTTGGACTGCACGCGCTGGGGAGTCGGTGGTCCTGAGCTAGGTTGGCCAATTGAAACCTAAAACCCCCAAATCCTGAACCAAAAGGGTTTAGGGTTTAGGGTTTATGGTTTAGGGTTTAGGGGCTTGAACCCTAACCTAAAACGAAAGGGTCTCACATGGTCCTTTAAGCCCCAAGAACGAACATCTAGCAGGCGCAGGGGCGGACCCTAAACCCTGAACCCCTAAACCCCTCAACCCCTAAACCCCTAAACCTCTAAGCCCCTAAACCCCTAAACCCTAAACCCTAAAGACGGACAAGTTAGGTTTCCATTCGCAGTCTTTGCCGTGCCGCATGCCCCACATATGAACACATATGAAGCTAACGAGATGCCATCTGTTAAGGGTTTAGGGTTTAGGGTTTAGGGTTTAGGGTTTAAGGGCTTTAGGGTTTAGGGTTTAGGGGTTGAAGGCTGATGTGGAGTTCAGGGGGCTTGGGAAACCACCCGATCCCTCGGGCCGGTCTTTCCCACGCCGTGACAGTCGAGGACTGGGGTTTCGGGGAAATCGAAGTGGGGGGGTCGCACCCCAACACCTAAGCCAGAAGGATCAGAAACCTTGAAAACGGATCCCAATGTTTTTTTAACTCCCCCTAAGCCACTCCAAGCCCCAAGGCCCCCAAAGATGTTGCTTCAGCTCAGGTTCTGCAGTGGTGCGGCCGAACACGCTGCATCTCAAGGCGCCTCAGCTGTTTTGGGGTTCGGGGCTTTCCGCTTAGGGTTGAGGCTTCCGGCTTAGGGCACAGGGTGGTTCCGACATTCGGGGTACCTTCTTGGCGTCCCTACTATGAGGGAATCCTAGTATTTGGGGTCCATTTAAGGGCCCCCCTACTTTCGCAAACCCCCCCAGATAGCCCCCAACCTTCCGGCTCCTCCGGGCCCTAAACCACTCCGGGCGCAAGCCTCGAAGCATGAACCCCAGGTTGAGAAGAAGATCCTCGGAAGTGGTTTAGGGTTTAGGGTTTAGGGTTTAGGGTTTAGGGTTTAGGGTTTAGGGTTTCTTGGCATTAGAGCTCAGGGTACCGGATTCCGGTGCACATAATAAATTCCAATACCTGTGACAACAGCGCCTACGGCCTTGTGTTCGGTTTTGTCTGCAAGGCTTTAAAAGGGTAAGCATACTAAGGGCCCATGGTTCCAACCTTAGGCATGGGCTCAGTGCTCATGTTACCCTAAACCCTAAACCCTAAACCCTAAACCCTAAACCCTAAACCCTAAACCCCTTTATGGGGGCCCTGTCTGCAGGAGGCCGTTTGATGATTGCGGGTTTTTGGGTTGCGCGGTGCTTGTGGGGAGTCAGAAAAAGCATTCCCAAGGAGCGCAGCACCCCTTTGATAGGGAATCCGGTCGCTAACTGTTCTAGGCACTGATAAGAAGTTGGGGTATATTCCGGAAAGTGTTGGGCTCTCTGGTTTCTTGGCTCTCCAAGAAGCCCTAAGCTGAATCCACTAGCCCTCTAGCCTCGAACTTCGAGAGCTCCACTACCCTTAACACTCTCTGTCCCAAAAAATGTTCCTGAGAAACCCTTTTCCCGAACATTTCGAGAGCCTTCTAACCATCTAACCCCAAGACCCTCCTCCTAGACACCACAAGCTGAAGAGAATGCCAAGGTACGTGCTGAATGGGAGCTGCCGGCCCCAGGTGCAGAACTTCAGGCTTAGGGCTTAAGGGCTTCGGGCTTCGGGCTTCGGGCTTCGGGCTTAGGGCTTAGGGCTTAGGGCTTCGGGCTTAGGGCTTAGGGCTTAGGGTTTAGGGTTTAGGGTTTGTGGTTGATGGGTCATGGGCTTTGGGGTTCAGGGTTCTAGAGGCACTGAGGTTGCCGTGAATCCGCCGACAACCCCACAAGACAGGTGTGAGGGTTTAGGGCTTCTGGGCTTTAGGATTAAGGGCTTTGGGGTTTCAGGGCATCTGCTGCCAGTGGAACTGTGAGCATCCAGACGGGCATGCTTCCAGTTGCTCAGCAGGAACTTGTGGCAAGTTCCCGATGCGATCCTGTTAAATTGCACGCTCCCTGACCCTTGCATCTACCAAGGTTGTAAGATTGGGGTCTAGGGTTTGGGGTTTGGGGTTTAGGGTTTAGGGTTTAGGACCCCGAAACCCTCAGCCCGAGGCGAAAAAAAAAACATTCCCCGTTGCTCATTTCCTCCCCCCGCGACAAGCACCGCGGCTGTGGCGTCGAGCGGCCGGTGGCTCCAAGGCACAGGGTTGAGGGCTGAGGGTTTAGGGTTTAGGGTTGAGGGTTCAGGGTGTAGGCCCCCTTTGCTTGGGAGGTGTGTGGGGGGATTTAGGCCCCTGGGATTCAGGGATGCAGGGCCTATGGCACTGGACGCTGAACTAGTGAACTGGTGGTATAGATGCGCTGGCCCTCCTCAGAAAGGCCCCGTGGGCTTGGGGCTTCAGGCGTTTTGGGGGTCAGGTGTTGAAGGTTCAGGGTTTAAGGAGAAGGGTTCAGGGTTTTGAGCTTCAGGATTCAGGGTCGTGAGGCTTGGGGCCCTGAACCCTGAGATCGAACTCGGAGACCAATCATCTCCTGCAATGCTGCCGGCCACTTTGGGCCAGTCTCCCATGGAAGGTCTTCACGCATCAGTCCTGCTTAAGCCTTTCGGGCTTAGGCCTTCGGGTTCCGGATTTTTTTGGTTCGGCCCTGAGAAGACCAACCTTTTCGGAGCCGCGGCCGCCTGAATGCCTCTTTGGCCGCCTTCTGGGGGGGGGCTCAGGGTTCAGGGGCTTCAGGGTTGAGGGTTTAAGCCCTAAACCCTAAACCCTAAACCCTAACCCCTCAAGGTTTAGGAGCTTGAGAGTCTTGGGGGGCTCTGGGCTTGGCCGGGCCGGGAAAGGATCCTTGACCCCAGCAATCGGTAGCATCTCGCAACCTCGGCCACCCGAAGCGCTTGAAGCCCTATCTGCTGTTTGCTTAAGAGTCCCCCCTCTCAAAAGAACTTTCTTAAAAGGGGAAAAAGGGAAAATTATCGTCTTAAGGGTAATATAGGGAGAATTATCGTCTTAAGCGAATGGAGGTTTAATCTTTACGGCGCTGGAGCGCTAAAACCCCACTAGACCCCAAACCCCAAGCGCCAAGCTCCAAGGGACTCCTATGCTGCTTCAGGCAGACTTCCCAATTACAAGGGGGTCCCGGGTTCAATGGGTGGATCTCGGACCGGTTGCTTTCATGGGTTAGGGTCTAGGGTCCAGGAGGTTCAGCGGCTTAGAGTAGTCTGGTTGTGACTTATAGCGACCCGTGCACCTTCAGGCCTTGTGAGGGGGTTCTATCAAACCTACTTGCGCCTTCAACTTACTTGGGATAAAGGCTGAGGGGCATTGTCATTTTTCTTCTCTTTGGGGGGTTGGGAGAAGGGGTTGAAGGGGGGAGGGTGTCTTTATATGGTCCCTTGTAAGGCATGCTGTCGACGGTTCTGGGCTTAAACCGTACCTGCGCCAGAACCTCTTGATGTACTATCCATGTGCAAAGTGGTCACTTTGCGTGCTCTCCAGTGAGATGCTACCCCGAAGGATGACTTCTGAGACTCCTGCCTACGGACAGGGCTCACATGTCGCAGAGCATACGCGAAGAGCGGCTTGGCATGGACAGCCTCGACAACAGGGCACACTAGGGCACCGTGCGTTTTGCGCAAGTGCCGGCTGGCGAGGTACTAAGGGAGCCTTCAAGCCCTGAAGAGTCCATAAACTGTCTAGGGGCTTAGGGCTTAAGACTCAGGTTGCAAATGGGGGGCGGCAGTTCCGGAAGTAGGGGTCCTCGTAATGGGCGCCGGGACGTCACAGCGGCAGGACAAGCCGAGCCGTTCTTAAAGCCAACAAAGGAAATGTGAAATGTCCGAGGAGTTGACGCTCGAAGCCATATCAGCCTGAGGAGAAAAACACCTTCTGCCAGCAAAAGTCGTACTAGCAGCAGGGGACAATTTGCCAACAAAAACCCAAGAGCCACTGCCACATTGACCATCAAGGCCTCGACCCAAGTGCCCCAGAAGTCTGAAATCCGCCCCAAACTCGAAATCCCACGCTACGCCCTCAGCTCCAAACATCCAACTCTCAACCCGACACCATATAAGAACCCCATAAGCCCCGACACCCGCCTAAACCCTAAACCCTAAACCCTAAACCCTAAACCCGAAACCCTAAACCCTAAACCCTAAACCCTAAACCGGCCGGCCTGCCCGTCGTGCCATGCAGCCGGGAGGGCGCCGAGAAGCGGCCGACGCGGCCCTCGAAGCCGGCATCGCGGGAGCCTGGTATGGGGTTTAGGGTTTACGGTTTAGGGTTTAAGGGTTCAGGGTTTAGGGTTTAGGTTTAGGGTTTTGGGTTTAAGGTTTGGGGTTTAGGGTTTGGGGTTTAGGGTTTAGGGTTCAGGGTTCAGGGTTCAGGGCTCAGGGTTCAGGGTTCAGGGTTCAGGGTTTAGGGTTTAGGGTTTAGGGCTTAGGGCTTAGGGTTTAGGGTTTGGGGTTTGGGGTTTGGGGTTTGGGGTTTGGGGTTTGGGGTTTGGGGCTTAAGGTGTAGGGTGTAGGGTTTAGGCTTCAAGGCTTAGGGTTTAGGGTTGGGAGGCCACTTGTTGTTGACTTGGGGGGAGTGCTTTTATATGTGTATTTCCCAAAGTAGGGGTCCCCAAATAGAATCGAGTCCCCCTTAAAGGGTGCCCCCCCAAAAGGGTACCCCTATGTTCGGAAACTCCCATTTGGCTTTGGCCAGGCTGTAGAGGTGGCTAAAGCATCCTGAACCCCTCTTATGAAACCTGAAAACCCTGCATGTAACCCCCAAGTGAGCCCTGTATAAGCCTGCACACCCTAAACGCCCCTGAACTCGAAACCCGAAACCCTCAACCCTCAAACCCTGAAGCCCCCAAACCCTGAAGCCAGCCTGTCCCCCCAGGCGCTGAGAGGCGAGCCAAGGGCCCAGAGGCGACTGCGCAGAGGAGAACAAGGAGGTTCAGGGTTTAGGGTTTAGGGTTTAGGGTTTAGGGTTTAGGGTTGGGGGTTGAGGGTTTAGGGTTTAGGGTTTAGGGTTGGGTTGGAGGGTTTAGGGTTTAGGGTTGGGGGTTGAGGGTTTCGGGTTTAGGGTTCAGGGTTCAAGAGAAAAAAGGGGTTTAGGGTCTGAAGGGCTTAGAACTCATTGCAGTACAACTTATAGCAGGTTCATTCATGCAGGGTTACATTGTCAGGGGGTTAGGGACTTGGGGGTTTATTTAGTCAGTGTTTTGGATTGGGGGCGGGGTTCAGGGGTTTGAGAGGTCAGCGTTTGAGGGCTTGGGGTTTTAGGCGTTAGGGTTGGGTTGTGTCACAGTCCGCGCACACCGAGGGCTTGCTGATCTAGAGTTGGAAAGCTTGGGCGCTCGGGGCTGCGCGCCGTGATTTAAGGGACTTGTTTTTGGGGCGAAGAGGACTTCTAAAGCCCTGAACCCCGAACCCCCAGGTTTCCTCTTCTTTGCCCACAGTTTAGGGATTTAGGGTTTAGGGTTTATGGTTTAGGGTTTCGGGTTTAGGGTTCAGGGTTCAGGGTTCAGGGTTCAGGGCTTAGGGTTTAGGGTTTAGGGTTCAGGGTTCAGGGTTTAGGGTTTAGGGTTTAGGGTTTAGGGCTTAGGGCTTAGGGTTTAGGGTTTAGGGTTTAGGGTTTAGGGTCTAGAGCTCGAACCGCCCAGTGGCTGGTCATGCAGCCCATGGCTGCTTCTGCCGGTGAGGCAGTTGTGCCACTGGACTCCTCCAGGGTTTAGGGTTTTAGGATTTAGGGTTTAGGGTTTAGGGCTTAGGGTTCAGGATTGTGCTTTGGGCTTTGGGCTTGGGGGTTAACCCCAACCCCCCCCCCCCCCCCCCCCCTCCCCGGACCACAGCCTCGAATTGGTTCATCTCCTCTTCCGTGATGGCATCGTGCGTCATCAATCTCAGCTGGCTCAAGGTTGGCTCCAGCTTAGGGCGTGGTGTTGAGCGTTTGGGGTTTAGGGTTTAGGGTTAGGGTTTAGGGTTTAGGGTTTAGGGTTTAGGGCTTAGGGCTTAGGGCTTAGGGCTTAGGGCTTAGGGCTTAGGGCTTAGGGCTTAGGGCTTAGGGCTTAGGGCTTAGGGCTTAGGGCTTAGGGCTTAGGGCTTAGGGCTTAGGGCTTAGGGCTTCGGGCTTAGAGTTTAGGGTTCAAGAGCTCCTGGTCGAGCAGTTTCTCGTTTAGGCTCGTCGTTCAGAACATCAAAAAACACCCACCCACCCGGAGTTCCCATAACATTAAGACATACACAAAGTTTCTTCTTATTATTAAGATGGCACAACAACAAAACTACTCAAGGGTTTAAGGTCTCAAAGGGTTTAGGGTCTCAAGGGTTTAGGGACTCCAGGGTTTAGAGTGTCAAGGGTTTAGGGTCTCAGGGTTTAGGCTCTCAAGGGTTTAGGGACGCAAGGGTTTAGGGGCTCAAGGGTTTAGGGTCTCAAGGGTTTAGGGTCTCAAGTGTTCAACGAATTCTTGGGCCATAGGCCACGAGTTTTGGGGCCTACGCCCCATGCCCAAGAATTCTTGGGCCTATGGCCACGAGTTTTTGGGCCTATGCCCCGCCGGGCCTATGCCCACGAATTCTTGGGCCTATGCTCACGAATTTTTGCCACGAAAAAATGGGCCTTGCCCACGAACCCAAGGCCCAAAGGTTCGTGGGCACAATCTCAAAAATTCGTGGGCAAGGCCCGAAAATTCGTGGGCATAGCCCCAAAATCCCCACATGGGCCTTGCCCGCGAGTTTTTGGCCCACCAAAAAATGGGCCTTGCCCACGAACACCATGAAGGTTCATAACTATATGGTAGGAGCCCCCAGCACCCAGAGCACAGCCACACGGAGCAACCTAATCCATCATCCGGTCAGGCGCTCTAAGCCCCAGTAAACCCTGCAACACACACCTCAAACTCCAAACCCGAAGAGTGCCCCTGCAGCCCTACATGAGCCCTCAGAGAGTACACCTTATTTCATTCTCAGGACCCCTTCACAGTGCAGTCATAGTCCTGAATGGAGGGGCGCGTTGTTCCCTAAGCGGCGTTTCCGAAGCCCCGCAGCCAGAAGTGAGACCTAAACACGAATGCCCCAAAACCCCTTCGCAGCCGACTGGCAATTTCTTCAGCCTGCCAAGCTCCCAGATGGGTTTAGGGTTTAGGGTTTAGGGTTTAGGGCTTAGGGCTTAGGGCTTAGGGCTTAGGCTGAGGGCTTAGGATGCAAGATTTGTTCTGTGACGAATCCTACTGAACAAGGTGCCTACAAGCGGGGAAACCTTGTTTACAAGACACTGCATAGGTGGGCCAAAGGGAAACGCATTTCGAAACATGCACTGCCGTTCGGCTACTGTTTTCTCCTGAACCCTAAACCCTAAACCCTAAACCCTAAACCCGACTCGCCTCTGCGACACGCACCGCGCGGAGGCCCCGCCAGGCAGCGTCGACCAAGAGGCCCGGGGAGCGCGCAGTGGCTCCTGGAGCTACCGGGGATGATGTCATAGAGGAGCCTTAATAACTAGAACAGGCCTTAAAAAAGGAAGATCCCTTAGATCAGATTAAGGATCCCTTTATAATGTAAGAAATATTCCTTACAATATCCCTTAAAAAAGGAAGATACCTTAAACTATATTAAGGATCCCTTTATCATTTATGGAATATTCCTTCGCGAAGGGGTATTGGGCTCTCTGGGGTCTTGGGGATGATTTTAGTATCATGACAAAGGGACCATAAGGGAATACTATTACTAATGATTCCGACCCCTAGCGCTGCTCTCGTGCATCAGCAAGTCTGCAAGGGTTTGAGAGGACAGGCGAAGAATGTGGACCTGGAAGTGTAGCAACTTTTTTCTGAGGGGGGAGGGGGGATGGCGGCGGGGGGGGGGGAGGGCTTTGGGGGATTTTGGGTTGTGTTTGGGCTTCTTGGGTCGCTCAGGGTCCTAAGGTTCCGCGCGGGCTTTTCGGGCTTCTAAACCCGCTCAACCCTCTAAACCCTCCCTGAACCCCCAAACCTCAAAAACACAAAACAACAAAAACACAAACAAGTATAAATGTTCAAATACAATAAGAACAAAGGAGAAAAAAAAACAACCAACAAAAAAACAAGAAACCAGAGTCGAGCGGAGGTTCCGGCTCGGGCTCCGCGAGACCCAGGCACCGCAGCGCGGGAGCCGTCGGCCAGCCCAGGAACACCAAGGAAGCGCCCACCACGATGACCTTTGTAAAAGGAAGGGGGGACGGGGGGTTTAGGGTTGAGGGTTGAGGGTTGAGGGTTGGGGGGTTGAGGGTTGAGGGTTGAGGGTTGAGGGTTGAGGGTTGAGGGTTGAGGGTTGCGGGTTGAGGGTTGAGGGTTGAGGGTGTTGGGGCTTCGGGGATTCAAGGTTTTGGGGTTCGGGGTTTAGGGTTTCGATTGTGAGGTTTGAAAGGGTTTCAAGGGTTTGAGGGTTTGGGGCTTAGATGCGGTTTAAGGCTTCAGGGTCTAGGATTTTCAGGCCTTAGGTTGGCGACCCTAAACACTAAACCCTAAACTGTTAACCCTAGACCCTAAACGCTGCTCAGCCTCCCTGGAGGTTATGGGTTGTTACAACTGGGCTGGCAGCAGGGGAGCTTCAGGGAGAGGGAATGAACATTGAAGCATGTGGGCTGTAGGGGCCTTAAGAATTAGAATAGTGTTTTTTTGGGGGGGATTAAATTATACTTTTAAAGGGGCCATAAGGGGATACGATTAGGTAATCACACCGACACCCCTGGAGTCGGCTGTCGGGCTTAGATTTCCTTGGAGTCTTGGGTTCAGGGGCCTCCCCAGTCGTCCAGTAACCTGATATTAACCTTTGGGATACTGCCTAAAGAAGGTTAAAGGTTACCTACTCTACTACTAGGCTTCGTGGGTAAGGGCTGGAGGACTTTAAAGTGTGAGTTTGGTGGGCTTGATCGGGTCTGCGGGTTTCGGATGTCATGACAAAGGGCTTGGGTTGGGATGTTCCCCCCTTATACCAACAGTCCTTAATAGGGATTATAGTACCCCCTAATACAATCCCTGTTAAGGGCTGTTAGTTTTAGGGGGGACATCCCAGGGCTTTGGATTCAAGGGCCAGACTGCTTGGCTGCCTTCGGCCCCATCGCTGAGGCTATGGCAGTGGTGCAGAGGAAGAAGTTCTGGTGACCGCCCTGCAGACGGTGAGAAGGAGAACAGCGGGGAGATTCTCCGACGGCTGCCCCCACAACGGAAGAAGGGAGATGTCCGCCCAAAATTTCAAGACTTGCGTAATCCGAAACCCTGAACCCTAAACCCTAAAGCCGAACCCCCCCCCCCTCCTTTTTTTGGTCGTTTCCTCAAACCGTCCTTTCCACATGTGTTTGGAGGTCTCGGGTTTGGAGTTGAGCCAGAAAACAGCCTGCACCCCCCCCTTGGGCCCTGAAGCCCTGAAGGGTTGAGGGCTTAAGGCTTAAGAGTTCCTCTTGCAGTTTAGGGTCGAGGGTTCAGGGCTGAGGGTTTAGGGGCCTCGGGCCTTTGGAGGGTTGGGAAAGCTCCCCCCCGGCAGGGTTTAGGGTTTAGAGTTCAGGGTTTAGGATTTAGGGGCCTCAGGCTTTTTGAGGGTTGGGAAAACCCCCCCCCCCCCCCCCCACACCCCCACACCCCCACGCCCCTCTGCGGCCTTATTCGGGAAGCCCAGCGCACAGATAAACGCAATCACTCCACGCAGCCCGGCCATCCAGACCATGTGCATCTCCTCACCGTTTCAGGAAACGGGTTTACGGTTTGGGCTTCTCTAAACCCTAAGCCCTAAACCCTAAACCCTAAGCTGAAGGCTCGAGTACGATCTTAGCTGGCGCAGCTTCTTAGTCCGCGACACCTTCGCCGACAGCTTCGGCCCCGCCGAGACGCGGTTGGCGAGGAAAGACAGCGGGTAAACGTTCCTCAGGGCAAGGGATCACTGGAAGGTTTCATGGGTAGTAGCCCTAAACCCTAAACCCTAAACCCTAAACCCGAAACCCCTAAACCCCTAAACCCTAAACCCTAGACCCTAAACCCTAAACCCTAAACCCTAACCCTAAACCCCACACCCTATTTCCTTCGGACGGTGCCAGGCTCCCAACTTCAGGGCTGGGCGTGTCTTTATCTTGGCATTCCATGTCTCCCCCTTCTTGAAACTTGCCTTCAAAACCCAAAAACCCAAACCCGTGCGGGGTGGATCATGGAAAAACCATGTGACCGCTAAACCCTAAACCCTAAACTCTGAACCCTAAACCCTAAACCCTAAACCCGAAACAGCAACCTTAAGCCCTATTGGAGTTGGATTTTGTCTTCGATGTTGATTTTGCGAAACCCGCCAGGCAGCACTGCACGACCAATGAGGCAGGCAACGGCCGTCCAGGCCACCTCCGGACCCCACCCTAGGGTTTAGGGTTTAGGGTTTAGGGTTTAGGGTTTAGGGTTTAGGGTTTAGGGTTTAGGGTTTAGGGTTTAGGGTTGAGGATTTAGGGCTTCGGGTCCTTCCCGTGTGGGGGGCTTCCGAAGGTAGGGGCAGACCCTTCTTGGGGCGTTCCTCAAAAAACCCCCGAAAGCTCTGAGGCACAGAGACACCAACCCTAAACCCTAACTCCCAAACTCTCCCAAACTCCCAAACTCCAAAACCCCTAAACCCTAAACCCTACACCCTAAACCCTAACCCCTAAACCCCTAAACCCCTAAACCCCGAAACCCCGAAACCCACAGCCCTCAAGTCCGAAAACCCCTAAAACCGCCAAACCCCAGCCCCCTCAAACCCCGAAGCCCCAAAAGCGATGGGACGGGTTTCGGGCTTAGGGTTTATAGAGGGTTTAGGGCGAGAACTTCGTGGCTCGAAGCTTGAAGTTGTAGGGAGATTGTTGTCGTCTCCCCCCTCCCCTCCCCACCAGCGGCGCCGAGAAGGCACCCTGGATCATGAAGACGCCCAGGCCGAGAAGAATGAAGACCTCGCTCGAAAACCCGAAACCCAACTCATCCCCAAAAGCATCGAAACCTGAAAAGACCTTAAGCCCGAAACCCCCTGAAGCAGAGTGACAGCCTCCCGAGCGGAAGGATTCTTCGGGGCTTCTACCGTCTGCAACGGTTGGCCGTTTCTCTGTTTTTTGTGGGGAGAGGGCCAAAGCTTACGTAGGGGTTAGGGTGTAGGGTTTAGGGCTACTTGGAGGTTCATGGGTAGTTATAAGTAGGGCTAAAAGTAGGGCAGCTATACTTGTCACGGGTAATAACCTTATGAAGGGCACTTGTAACCCTACTCATAACTACCCATGAACCTTCAAGTAGGGTTTGGGAAACACCCCGAAGAGCCTCGAACCCCTCAACCCGAGAACCCGAAGCCCCAAGCCCTGAGCCGCAAACATCACCGATGCTCCTTGCGGGGGGACCACCATGCCTAACCGGGGCCTTTGCAAACAAAAACAAATGCGCAACAAAACGTCAGGGTCCAGCGGTTCAGGAGCACTAATTGCAAAAATCCCGAACAGACTCCAAATCGAAAAAACAATCCCAAGGCCCCAAATGAAAAGCTTACCATCACAAGCCCTGAGCCCTCTAAGTACTGAAAGCTGAAACCTGAAAGGGGTGGCGGAGTGGAGCCCATAACAACGATCCCATTTGAAATATATACATATATATGCATACAAATACGCCCAATCGCAATACCTTCCTCGTTCACGCCAACGCTCCATGCTGTAGGCAAAACCAGCCGAAGGTGCATAAGTCTCGCAGAGCGAAGCTATTAGTTCCACCGTCGGCAGGAAGATCTGCCGCGTCACCTGGCGCTTTCGGGGAATACTTTTATCACCAGGGCCTCTATTTCAGGGGTTGGGGTTTAAGGGGAGGGGGGGGTGGGTGGGGTGGGTGACCTGCATTAAATGGCTCCTGTTTTGGGGGTTCCCTGGAGATAAGGCTGCAACAGGAGAACCGAAAAGATTGGATTTAGCACTCCCAGGACCCATGGAGGGTACGCGCCGGAAGATTGAAAGCATCCCCCCTCCCCCAAGCTTTGGCCCTAACACCCAAAAGACCTGAGACCGATACCCTAAATCCCAAAACGATACGACCTGCACAGAGGTACCTGAACCGAAGAGGGTGAGAGTGCGCTGAAACTGTAAACCCAGACCCGCCTAGCTAGCGAGGGACTGACAGTGATTGCCGGGGTTTGAGGTTTGGGGTTTGGGGCTGAGGGTTTAGGGTTTAGGGTTTAGGGTTCAGGGTTTAGGGTTTAGGGTTTAGGGTTCAGGGTTCAGGGTTCAGGGTTCAGGGTTTAGGGTTTAGGGTTTAGGGTTTAGGGTTTAGGGTTTAGGGTTTAGGGTTTAGGGTTTAGGGTTTAGGGTTTAGGGTTTAGGGTTTACCTTCATACCATGGATCTGCAAAACACAGCAGCTCTCTGTGAGCTTCGCCTGCTCAAGGCAACTACTCTCCATCCCAGCCTGAGTCAAGTTGAAGTGCGCGTAGTGGCGCATTGTAATCCCTGCAAACCTTGGTAGCATGAACCCGAAAAATGGGCTGATGCGAAGAAACTCAAATGTTTTATGTCCGAAGCCACATCACTGACTCTTTATATACGCATGTATAGTATATGTATGTCCGAAAAGGGAACCGTAACATGCAACATATACTCTACCCAATCGAAGCCTTAGTCTGTGGGGTGTTCCTGATTCCGTTCCAGGGGTTAGGGTTTGGGGTTTGGGCATTTTGGGTCGTCTATGCTATCAGCGGTGAACCCAAGCCCCTGAGCTTACGAGCTTACTGTTGGTTCTTAGTGCATGAAGGAACCCTAAACCCTAAACCCTAAACCCTAAACCCTGCTGGCCAACAACAAGCCAGGGCTGCACTGAAGTTCCAAGGGGCATGATGGCTACAATGCCCGAGAGGTTGCAAGCCTCTGCCGCAAGGAACGGGACATAGGCGAGAACCTCAACTGCTTGCGTCTTGCAGTCCCTAAACCCTAAACCCTAAACCCTAACCCCTAAACCCCTAAACCCCTAAGCCCTTTAACTTTAAGGTTTGGGGTCCACTTCTTAGGATGTCCCCATCTCAGCAAGACATAAAACTTGAAAGGTGATCGCCCCTTCGCATAATCCCTACTCAATTACTAAGACTATCTGGACAAGGGGTAGCATCTTGAGGATAGGGGCCCCGCTAACAGAACATAAGCCAACGCACGACACAGGGCACTCTCATGCAACCCCCCCCCTTAATCAACCCAGAAAAATCCTGGGAGATCCCACAATCAGCGTGCGATTGGCGTCTTCGGGCTGCCGACTTCTAGGGACTAGTGCACCACAAGTACCTAAGCGAAGCTCTTAGTATGTATCACGTATAATCCGCCGAGGCCTCGGGCCGGAGGTGTATAGGTTGTCAGAACAGGCACCCCCCTCCAAATCCTCCCCCCACACCCAAAGCAGTTTTCGGACCCCTTTTTTTGGCCTCAAATGGGTACCCCCCCCTGGGAAACCGGGGTCCGCAAGGACGGTTCGCCAGGACCAGAGGCAGTTGAAGCCCCTCCCAGCAGGGCCCCCCGCCGTTGTTCACCCCCCCTCTTCCCACACCCCCCCCCCACCCCCCCACCCCCCCCCCCCCCCCCCCACCCCCCTCCCCCTCCCCCCACCCCACCTCCCCCCACCCCCCCCCCCCCCTCCCCCCCACCCTTCCGAAGAGTCGCCTTAAACCTTAAGGGGCCTGGCTCAACCCTACGATCACTCCAAGCCGAACCCTAAACCCAAAAAAACCCTCAACCCCAAAGCGTGAACCTTGAGCCCTAAACTAACCCCAAACCCCAAACCATAAACCCGGAACCCTCAACCCTCAACCCTCAACCCAACCCTTATTGCTTGGGGTCCAGCGACTTGGGCGCTGCGGAATCACCATGCACGCGGATGCGCTGGGCCGGGCCGAGGCGGGTCGCGTAGCGTTAAAATTACCCTTGAAACCCTAAATATAGCTGCACATGACCCCAAAAGGTCCTCGGGGCCCGGGATCCTGTTTAGGGGTTCGGATTCCTGTTGAAAACCAGAATCCTCGACCTGGCTTGAGGGTTTAGTTCGTCAGAGTTTAGGGTTTAGGGTTTAGGGTTTAGGGTTTAGGGTTTAGGGTTCAGGGTTCAGGGTTCAGGGTTTAGGGTTTAGGTTTTAGGGCTGGGGGTCTGGGGTTTGGGGTTTGGGGCTGGGGGTTGGGGATTTGGGGTTGGGGGTTTGGGGCTTGGGGCTTAGGGTTCAGAGTTTTGGGTTCAGGCGTGTAAGTTTCCAGGCTTCTGGGGGCTTCCGGGGCTCTGGAACCTGAACCCTGCACCCCCAAAGCCTCTCTCAAGTCAACTTCAACTACCTGCAGCGGAACCACTGTGCCAAGATAAAACCCAGAAGTCCTCCACTTTCAACCCTAAGCCCTAAGCCCTAAACCCTAAACCCTAGACCCTGCATTGGAGTTTGGGGTTTGAGGCTTTCGTGTTCGATGCTTAGGGAGGCCGGGAAGCAAGCGCCACTCCGATTTCCGGAATGTTGAAGTAGAGATGCTCACCTTCACCTCGGCCAAGGGAGACGTCACCCTAGCAATAAGGACCCACAAAAGGACTCTAATTTGAGAACTACCCACCTTGAACAAGGAATATCACCAAGGCCAAGCGCTGAGCAAGAAGAAGCGCACACAAAGCATGACGAGGTGAACGGATGGTGGACGGGCTAGTGAGCTTGCGAAGCGACCTTCGTGATGTTTGCAGCCCGTTGCTGCCAAACAGGACTTTGCCGACGAAACCGCAGTTCTCTTCAATGCCAGGGGCCGGGGGCATGCCGAAAAGCCGAAACTTCCGGTTACTACCCTCAAGCATTTCAAGGTAATGCTACAAGCGCCGGGTTTATCTCGACCCACCCGGTGTAAAGTCGGCCCAACCCCTGCGGCACACAGCAATACAAACCCTCAACCCTTAACAACCCAAAAGCAAGCGCACACCCAGACCCCCCGAGGAGCCCCAATAGGAGCCCTAACCCCCCTCTCTTCCCCGCCCACCCACCCTCCTCCCGCAAAAGAGAACAAAGGAGAACCTGAACGGCCTGAGCCCCCCTAACCCCTCCAAAGCCTAAATGGGTCCCGAAAACAGGGGTGCGTTATTGGGGTCCTTATTTTACGGGAGGGTCTATTTTAGGGCTTCTCCTATTTTCGCAACCCCCCAGAATGTTGAGGGATGCTGGGGCTCGCGGCTCGACCCCGCCCCCAGCCGAGCAGACTTCAGGAGGAAGGCGGTGGCCAAGCCACCTCTGGGGAGCTTAGGTTTAGGGTTTTAAGGGTTTAGGGTTTTAGGGTTTAGGGTTTAGGGTTTAGGGTTTAGGGTTTAGGGTTTAGGGTTTAGGAGGGTTTAGGATGGTTTAGGGTTTAGGGTTTAGGGTTTAGGGTTTAGGGTTTAGGGTTTAGGGTTTAGGGTTTAGGGTTTAGGGTTTAGGGTTTAGGGTTTAGGGTTTAGGGTTTACCAGGGAAACCCTCCACGCAGGAATCCCGCAGCTGCAATCAAGCCCTCCCGCGCCTGCCACGCCTATGAGAGTCGACGCCGCGAAGACTTTCAGGAAGTTCAGAACGATCCTCCACTTGGAGGTTCAGTTCAAGGGTAGCTTTAACTAGGGATATAAGTACCCTAAAGAAGTAGTTACCCTACTGAAAACTCTACATAGCCACCCATGAACCTCCCAGCAGGGCGCGCCTTCATCCCATCCCCTTAATCTTTCAATCCCCCCTACCCCTGCCCCCTAGATTTTTAAATTCCCATTACAGTTACATTACAGAATTGTTATAGTGTATGGGGGGGGTTAGTATTTAGGGGGAAGGGATTACGATTTGAGCGGGTTCTCCAAAAGACGGAGCCGTCTCTTCAGGGCATCCAAACAAGGGTCCCTTAAACATCGCAATAGGTGCTTGACTCCTAGGTACTCTGTTCAAGGCCTGGCGCATGCTTCAGGGTCTACCCTCTGTGAGGCTTGAAGATTGGAGGATGTTCCCCCTTATACTAACAGTCCTTAGTAGGGATAATAGTACCCCCTATTATAATCCCTATTCAGGAGCACAAGGGGGAACATCCCAACTTAAAGACCAGTTTGCCCGGCTGAAAGAGCAAGTCTTCCTGGCGCCGTTTGATGTTTAGGTGGGCCGTCTTTAACACCAACTGCCCCCCAGCGCTGCCTCGAAAAGGGCTTAGGGTTTAGGATGTGGGATAGAGTTACAACAGGGCTCTTGTTAACTCGGCACTCCTGGTGCCAGTCCAGTCCTCGGCACATTGCACCAGCCAAATCGAAAATTGTCAACTCCACATAACTCCACCCTCCACTTTGAAAGCACCAAGCCTCAATCCCTGGACTCAGAGCCCTCGGAGGTCCTTTAAAACAAAAACCTGGGGCCCTACAGCCTTTTCAACCCTGAGGCGATGGCGCCACAATAGTTTCCCCCCCCCTCCCGCCCCCTTCGCTCCTCGCAGTCACAGCGGCATCGAGCGCCTGGGCTTAGAGTTTGGGACTTCGGGCGCGCTGGAGCTCACTTGGAGGTTCAAGGGAATCTAGAGGCAGGGTTCTAAGTACCCTACATAAGGTTGAGTAGAATTACCCCTACGTAGGAGGTTCATCCCACTTGGAGGTTCATGGGTAGTCATAACTAGGTTTAGGGTTTAGGGTTTAGGCCTACCTGGAGGCTCAAGGGTAGCTATGAATAGGGTTCTAAGTGCCCCAAAATAAGGTTATAAGTGCAGTTACCCGGTTTTTGTAACCCCTCTTATGACTACCCATGAACCTCCGAACAGGGTTAGGGCTTCGGACCCACACTTGAAGAATCAGGGCTCAGGGCTTAGGGTTTGGGTTTAGGGCGTAGGGCGCTTGGGCTAGAGTTTAGAACTGACCACCCCAATCAGGGGCAACTTGCAACCCAACTTATCACTGCCCATGACCTTCACCCACCGATCTAATTAGGAGGAGTATTTGGGTGGCTTGCCTGCTTACAAACCCTCCACCCTAAACCCGAAACCCTAAACCCGCCTAAACCCGCCTAAACCCTGAACTCTAAACCCTCATCCTTAACCCGCGATACCTGCCTCAACCCATGCGCCCCCCTGGCACCAACCCTAAACCCTAAACCCTAAACCCTAAACCCCAAAAAAACAGAGGGTGCCTCCCCGGAGCTCACCAGGTCGGCGAAGCTGCCGAAGAGTGCGATGGCAACCGCATCGTTCAGTATGGACTCGCCCAAAACCTGGGGGCTCTGCGGTCATTGGGGATCTTATGAGCACTGGATCTAAACCCCAACCCTAAAGCCTGAAACCTAAACCCTAAACCCTAAACTAAAACCTATATGTGGTGTATGAACGACTCTCCAAGGGGAGGGGCCTTCCCTTTAAATTTGCTAAGGGCCGATAGGGAATCCCGAATAAACCTAAGCTGCTGAACCCTAAGCTCTCTCTGCAACCGTGGACACTGAACCCTCCAGTAAGCGCCCGAAACCCTCTCAATCCTCAACCAACCCGGAACCCCAAACCCTAAACCCCAAACCCTAAACCCTAAACCCTAACCCCTAAACCCCAAACCCCAAACCCTAAACCCTAAACCCCTCTCAACCCTCCTCACAGGCCCGCGGAGCCGAGTAGTAGAGGTGGCCGCGGCCCTTTTCGGCCAGCGACTGCTCCTTGAAGATGGCGAGGGTGGTGACCTCTGGAGCTTCTTAGGGCTGTAGGGCTCTAGGGGCTTTCGGGTTTAGGGCTGTAGGGTTTAAGGTTTAGGGTTTAGGGTTTAGGGTTGTTACATAAGGCTCGCGAGGTCTGGTACTGGGCAAAAGGCTCCGAAGTTGCTCGCATTACTCCCCCAAATAACTCCTCAGCACGGTGTTGAGATGCTGGTTTCTACCTTCTTTGGGGGGGGGGGGGGGGCTTCAACCCTCCAATCTCCCTGACAGCACTGCAACTCTGCGGCAGGATCCGTCGAGCTAATCATCGCTCCTTTGGGGGTTCAAGGTGAAGGGTCTGCGGTTTGGGGCTGGAGCTTGGAGCTCAGAGTTTGGGGGATTGGGCTTAAGGCTTAAGGTTGCTCTGCGGAGGAAGAGATACCAAAACATGATTTTAGAAGACACAGCAGTGAATAATCATAGGACCAGCCCACGCAAGCCACGTTTCCAGGCAAGGTAGGTGGAGGCGACGTGAGGGTTGTTTAGACGACCATGCAGCGGGCCGAAAACTACAAGCGCGCCCGGGAGGTGAGCGCAACCAACTTTGCCAACTTGGAATGCTACAAGTAGTCTTCCTCCAATCCTTCCCGGGGCCTGTGCGTGCCTCGCGATGCCTCTGTCCCTAGACCAACGCCCCTCAACCCATGACTCGCCACGGGCAACATGTTCATACGAAGCAGAAGCCACTTGCAGACGGGGCGCCGAAGGCGAGGCACTCCGCCAGCCCCAGCGTGATGCCGCCCGTGAGAGGCACCAAGTAGAAGATCGCGAAGGCCACGACCTGGCGCCGGATTCTGAGAAAGTGAAGAGGCCCCTGGGCCACCCTCCTCAAGCCTCACGTGGGGATTGCAGACGCCAGTCTATTCTACTACGATACAAAGCCAAGATGAACAAAGTGCCCCCCAACAATTTGGGAGGTGTGACGGGTTTGGCATGTGGGGGATGCAGGGCGTGGGTTGCCCTGGATACCTTGGGGCACTGCATCATCCTGAACGCTAAGCCCCTTGAGATACTACAAGGGGCCTACCAATTTTGAATGGGCTTTTGGGGTGCTTTACATCGCGGTTCTCTGGCCCGCTGCAGTGCTTAGAGGTTCGTTCGCATACTCTGCATGACTACTCAGGGACTCTTCCCCCAAGGGGAAAGCTAAATACCTGAAGACCGCAGCCGAAGCCCTCAAGAGCTGGAATTGAGGAATCGGGTTTAGGGTTTGGGGTTTAGGGTTCATGGTTTAGGGTTTAGGGTTAGAACTAGGGTCTAGGGTTGTGGTTTCTTCCGGGTTTCAATGCCCGACATGCACGACCTCGAACACCACGCTCCAGACCTCAAACTCTGAACTATGACAGGGCCCCCACCCTACAACGAAACCCTCCATCCTTTTAGGGTTTAGGGTTTTGGGTTTAGGGTTCAGGGTTCAGGTTTAGGGTTTAGGGTTTAGGGTCTTGGGTTGCGGGTTTAGGGTTTAGGGTTTAGGGTTTAGGGTTTAGGGTTTAGGGTTTAGGGTTTAGGGTTTAGGGTTTAGGGCACGACAAAAACATACACCCTAAACCTAACGTGTCCTGTCACTTTGGGGCGGCGCATGGGGGTGTCGGAACCCCTGAGAGCCCCCACCAGGGCTGAGATCAGCGTGCCCAGAAACGCGTGCAACAAGATTCCTGGGCTGAGTGCTTAGGGTTCATGGTTTAGGGTTCAGGGTTTAGGGGTTATGGTTTAGGGGAATAATTCGAACTTTTTGGTTCTGGCATAAGACGCCCATGCACAAACGGCGCCACCACTTCTCCGGGGCTGGGGCGTTGGCCCGAAGGGGCTCCCTTTGCCAGCAACCAGGGCCGGCTCATGGAAGACTAACGGCAAACTTTGGGATATTCACCTTCCGCCTGGCAGAAGGGAGGCCATGCGCTACAGGCAGAGCAAGCCCGAATTGGGGGGCGGGGGTGTATTCGACCCATCTCCAATGCCGTTTACCCTAAACCCTAAAAACCCGAAAAAAACCGAAGAACCCAGAAATCAGCGTTGCTGGCGGGGAGGAAGTCGTGGGGGGAGCTTCGAGGTTCATCAGCCCCAAACGTATGGTATCCTCTACGCCCTCCCGCCCATGACAACCCAAATAACTAAACCCTAAAAATCTAAACTTTAGGACCTAATGATCCCGATCCCCCTACACCTCCAAACTTACTCAAACACACATCCCCATTCAACTTCTTGGGCAAAATATCTGGCAGGACGCGCGTGATGTTATCGAAGAACTGCTGGCTCTTCATGCCGTAACCTCGGCTCTTCTAAAGCCCGCGCCTGTGCGGAGCTCAGGGGTTTAGGGTTCGGGCTTAGGGAGGCTTATGTGCAACCACAAGACCAAACGACCAAACACAAAAAGGGATACGTCAACAAGCCCTAGCAGCCTTCGGCGAAGATGATGGGAGCAATGAATACCAGCCTTGGATCCAGCGCAGCATCCGCTTCGGTCCGAAAACCCCAAAAAACAACAAAAGCCTGAATCCGAAGTTAGCGTTGAGGGATTAAGGAAAATGGCTCAACTATCCTTGCGGCGCTCGACTCGCCTGGCCCGATAACTCTCCCGAAGCTGGCTCTCACCTCCCCCGCTTCGATTTCGACTTGAGGATGCTCCTCAAACCCTGCGTTTAGGGTCTAGGGTGTAGGGTTTAGGGTTTAGGGTTTAGTGTTTAGGGTTTAGGGTATGGGCCGTGGGTTTTCATGTAAGCAAAGACATCGTAGCGGCGCGATAGGACAGGTGGCATAAACTGCTTGGCAGACATGTCCTCCAGCTTCTCGAAAGTGCCCCGATTGACCTGCCCGCTGGCCGGCAGCAAAGAACGGCATTTTGGGGAAGCATCAGCGTTCAGGGTTTAGGGTTGAAGGTTTAGGGTTTAGGGTTTAGGGTTTAGGGTTTGGGGTTTGGGGTTTAGGGTTTGGGGTTGGAGCTTCGGGTTTTGGGTTTAGGGGGGTTTAAAGTGACCTGCCGCAACCTTTCCGACTTCAGAACCTTCCCAAACCCTCGATCGTAAGAAGCTACTGGTTTGCAGGATGGTGGGGGGGGGGGGGGGGGGCTATGGGAGGCAGTTCCCAGTTCAGGGGGATTTCGAAGACTCCGGCACAAAGAGGTAACAATCTGCAAAGCCCAGATCCCCAGATCCTAACCCCTAACCGTAAACCCTCAGCCCCTAAACCCCCTCACCCCGCCCTCCCCCCCCCCCCCAACAAAAAGAATAACAAGAAACACATGAGACCCCGTGTGCACCTCAGGAAAGGCCGCAGCCACGGCGCCCAGGCCCACCCCCACCAGGATGGTTGAGATGGCCTCCAACGGGCTTAGGGCTTAGGACCAAGGCTTAGGGTTTAGGGTTTAGGGTTTAGGGTTCAGGTCTAGGGTCTAGGGTCTAGGGTCTAGGGTCTAATCTAGGCTAGGTTTAGGGTTTAGGGTTTAGGTTTAGGGTTTGGGGTTTGGGGTTTAGGTTTAGGGTTTAGGGTTTAGGGTTTTTTTAGGGTTTAGGGTTTAGGGTTTAGGGTTTAGGGTTTAGGGTTTAGGGTTTAGGGTTTAGGGTTTAGGGTTTAGGGTTTAGGGTTTAGGGTTTAGGGTTCAGGGTTTAGGCGGTTTAGGCGGTTTAGGCGGTTTAGGGTTTAGGGTTTAGGAAGCGGAAGCGGGGCAATATTGCGAGGTGGGAGGAGGGGTCCCTTTTTTTGGGGGGATGGCTTTTTTCCGGGGCTCATGAAGGGGCACCCCTACGGTGGGAGATACACTTGTGGCTCCTAGCTGCTGAGTTGGAGGGTGGGTGTATTGGAATGGGTGGGGTGTGACGATATTTCAACACTCGCATCACTGCTCCTTCAATTCAATTGCCTTCTAGCCGACAGAGAAGTCCAGAAGGGTTTAGGGTCTTACGGGGTATCTGACCACTTCTCTCAAATATGGGCCCTTTTGGGGTCCTCAACTTAAGGCGGCCTCTCTTATTGAGGGTAACCAGAGAAAAGACCACCGTTTTGACAACTGCCCTAAACCCTAAACCCTAAACCCTAAACCCTAAACCCTAAACCCTAAACCCTAAACCCTAAACCCTAAACCCTAAACCGTATGGCTTGGGGATTACCAGGATTTCGGGCTTGCGCGACTCTCCAAGGGTGAAGGCCTGCCAAGAAAGGGTTCATCCTGACAACTTTGAGGGTCCGATGCCATAACCCAGATGGATTCTTCGGGCACAGAAGGACTTTTTGGGATTTAGGGCTTAGGGTCGAGCGAAAAGGCTTGGTAAACCCCAAACCCTAAACCCTAAACCCTAAACCCTACACCCTAAACCCGAAACCCTAAACCCTAAACCCTAAACCCAAGCCCAAACCTCAACCTCCTCGCTTTGGGGGCTTGGAACTCAAGAGCTTCGATGGCGGGCGCCGGCCTCGGGAATGGGCCATGACTGCTTTTGTATGACGTTGTTCACCACCAGAGTGATGGCCTCGGATGGGTTTAGGGTTTGGGGTCTAGGGTTTAGCGTTCAGGGTGCAGGGTTTAGGGTTTTGGGTGTAGGGTTTAGGGTTGTACTTGGAGGTTCAAGGCTTTCATACGTGGAGTTATAAGTAGGGATGGTGAGGGCGACGGAAGGATGCCGCACTTGATGAGCACAATGGCATTCCTAGACCGTTGCCCGCTTACCCTACACCCTAGGCCCTAAACCCTGACAAAGGAACCCAGAACCCCAAAGAGAGCGCCAAAAGGCACCACTTCCTGCAAACAAAGCTGAACTTAACGCACAGCTTGGAGTGCGGAGCTGTTGGTACAAGCCCCTTCTAACCCTCGTAGACGATGAGCAAGCCCCTTCTACTAAACTCTGAAACGTAACCCCTAAACCCTAAACCCTAAACCCTAAACCCTAAACCCTAAACCCTAAACCCTAAACCCTAAACCCTAAACCCTAAACCCTAAACCCTAAACCCTAAACCCGACCCCAAACCCTAGCCTCAAAGCCACCTTGGAAAGACGCGAACTTGGGCTCGCGCCAGCAAGCTGACCTCGGAGCAAGACCAGGGTTCAGGATAGCTTAGGGTTTAGGGTTTAGGGCTGGGGTTTGGGGTTTGGGGTTTGCTCTTAAAACATAACCCCGAGAAAAATGGAAGCTGGGAAAATTCTGGGTAAATTCTGGGGGTTAAGCTGTGGTGCTGCATGCAACAGAGGGGTTGCCTGAATTCGGGAGTGAAGGGTTCTTAGATCTGGATTGCCGGATTAGGGAATACGTGATAAAGGTGGAATCTGACTCCCCCTCAACGCTCAAGAGCAAGCCCAAGATCAAATGCAGCCGATGAGCCAGCAACAGAACGTCCGTTGCATCGATCGTCAGATCCGATATGGGATCCGGCCCCGCTGCCACCATGTTGGGGGTTTAGGGTTTAGGGCTTAGGGCTTAGGGCCTAGGGTTGAGGGTTGAGGGTTGAGGGTTGAGGGTTGAGGGTTGAGGGTTTAGGGTTTAGGGTTTAGAGTTTAGGGTTTAGGGTTTAGGGCTCAAGCGAGTTTAGGGCGTAGCGTTTGGGTTCTCAAGGTCGTGAGGCTAGATGCGGTTTGGGCTTCATCGGTCTTGAAGGTCGGTTTGTCAAGGTTTCTTGAGGAGCATAGGGTCATGCAAGCTCAGAATGTGGACATGCTCGACATGTTAAAGACACATCGCTACAGACACATCTGCTGGGTGCAAGCCACAGGCCCGAAACCGAACCATGGCAACTCGGTTCTTTGGGTTTACGGAGTCATTGGATATTTGTTGGTGTGTGTGTGTTCCTGAGAGCCAGCACATTGTGGCCGTCGCCAAACTGAGCGGGCGGTTGTCAGCAGAAGCTTTACTTCTTAGGGTAGCTACATGGCCCCTTAGTATGGGCCCTTAAAAGGGTACCCATTATGTGCCCTTTATATACCCTGTACAGATTAAGGTCCCATACATCAGAAACCTGCAAAGGATGCAAAGGAGGTTAGGGACCATAGTAAGGGCCCATGAAACTATCCTCAGATTGCTAGACCCAAGAGTAGCCTAGGAATAAAGAAGGGCACCTGTTTGGTGTAAAGGAGGTTTAGAAGGGAACCTAACAAGGAAAAGAGGGCATGCTGTAGGGCCTCGTTTAGGGTTTAAATTGCGTGGGAGCTTACGGAACCCTACCAAAAGCCCTCAAACCTTGAAAACTTAGACGCAAAGCCACCCTGGAAGAGCTGCGGCCGCTCACTAGCACCAGCACTGCATTTCTTGTCCCTAAACCCTAAACCCTAAACCCTAAACCCTAAACCCTAAACCCTCAACCCTCAACCCTCAACCCTCAACCCTCAACCCTAAACCCTATACGGGGGGCAACCGAAGGAGGACAGGGAACAAAACAGTCAACCCCAACAGAAGCCCTTGATCCCCTGGACCAACCAACACCAAACCAAACCCAAAAGACCAAGCACCCTTTTCTCACTAAGTGCACTGTCATCTTGAGCCAAAAAAGATTTCCGGGTTCGTTGACCCTTTTCAACTCCCATCACCAACTTCTTTCTACAATACCAGTTGCAGCTCCGCACTCCCCCTGTCCTAGGATTTCCTAGGACACATTGGAGGTGCAGTTCTTTGGCCAAAAACCGCCATTTAGGCAGTAGCCAGCTGCTTAAAATGCACATTATGGTTTTACGTCATCCAGGACGAACCTTCAGCTCATTGGCCGAATCCCTTACCATTGAGGATTTCTTCACCTCGCACTTGAAAAAATTCACGTTCCAGCGGCCCGTTCCTCACCAAGGAACTCAGCATTCACCACCCAGCCATCCTTGAGGCAATGCTTACAAAGCGTCTTAGCCCTGGGCTGTGAATATCGCAGAACATCACAGTCACTGCTTGCGTGCATACAGTTCCCACCCACTGTTGTATACAAAGTGGCACTCGCAGGAATAACCACCGCTTTCTTGATCCACAGCCATTTATACAGCCGTCGAAAGAGGCACCATGCCAGTTCCCAGAGTATAATTGCTGCCACCAAATACGCAACAAGGTCTGAATTGTTGATAACCATTTCAATACCTTGAGCCAGAACCATCACCGTAGATGTGTTAGCGACCTTGCACACCCCTTCTTCCGAGCAAAAGAAACCAGCAGTTGACACTTCTTCGCCACCAGTTGCCATCCCTTGCAGAGATGCAGCCACCATCATGACCGCCATTGCAAGCGAGGCCCTCTTCAAGTCAGTCCCTTGTACCAACAGTCGGAGACCCCAAAGTGCCTTTTGCTTTGCATACACCTGTCCACTCATCAACTTGGTCAACAGGTCAGCGATCATATACTCACCGCGAAGGTGCGCTATCACCATATAACCACGGTCCACCAGAGACCTGACACCGGCTGCTCGAATTCTCAGGTGTCTTGTCCTCCAGCTTCCAGCAGGATATTGAATGATCGAGCACGTCGAAACCGAATCTGTATACAGCACTTTTTGCAGCGATTCTTCACCTGTTCCAACCCAAGCGGCAATTATAGGGGTGCACGACTGAATCATCGTTGCTCCCTCTATGGACGCATGTAATTCAGCTTCAGCTGTACTTAAAGCCACCGTTGATTGTCTCTGTGTTGCCCACATCACTGGACAGTCACCCCACACCGCCACCGCTCCTGAGTGGCTCTTTTCATTTTCACCTGCTGCAAAGCTGGCATCCGCGTAGGACTCCACCACCTTAACGCCTCGTCCATAACGCAACACCTCATTTCTTTCTTTTTCGCATGTTGCGATTGCTCCGAACGTCAAGCCTAACGTTGGAGTTGCAGCAAGGTATCGGAAAACCTCCTCAGCCTTTTTAACCACAAATCGCGGCCTTCGGGATGTCCACAAAGACAACTGGCTCGTGCAGAACGCCAAATCAGGTCGAGTTTTAATTGCCACCCAGAGGAACTCCCCTACAGCACCTTGAGCCGCTCGCAAGGAAGGAATATCCACCTCCTCTTCTTCACCTGGAGTTTCTTTCACCATTGGCAGGTTACTCCCTTTTCCAGTTTCATCAATCTGATACCCTCTTCGGTTCAGCAAATCTCTCACGAAGTCCTCCTGGTTGAGAAAGAAGCTGCCATTTCGATACCAGATTTGGACACCCAAAAACTTCAGGAATCCATCACCACAGCCTGGACCACAGAACTCGGGTTCAGAAGTTTTCCACTCCTTCCTAATCTGTTCCAAGGCCTCCCGGAGCACTGTCATAGTCCCAGCCATCAAAAAATCATCCACGTAAAGACCCATTGTCCCTACCAACTTGCTTGCACCTTCCGGCTTCTCTTGCGCCATAATAAGGAACAGACTTGGGTCTGCATTGGACCTCTGAAAGCTCATTGCTTGTCCATCCTTTGATACCCAAGACATACCTTGAAGACGTTGGTCTCGCCACTCCACCCATGCTGCAGGACTTTCGGCCAAACCGTACAAGGCCTTTCTCACAATCCACCGCTCCTCCTTTGTGCAAAGACCCAATTTCACCGCCGCCCTTGGGGGCTGCACCACCACCAGACGCCCTTCTCTTTGCGCCCTATTCATCGGCGCCGTCAGAAAAGCTTTGGAAATGTCTAAGCCAGCGATGATCCACACCATATATGCTGCGTGCCTCACTTGACACCTGAATGTAGTTGAATCTAAACCTGGAGCGTACAGCGAGTGACGACTGAGGGACCTCGGCCCTTCATATTCTGTAGCTGCCGTTGACGAAATAAAATTTCCACATGCACAGATAC